TCGTTTTAGCTGCCTTCTTCCTCTGGGAAGATGATGCCCTAGTCTTCTTAGACTGCGAAGAGGGTGTCTCAGATGTAGATGACCTCTTCCTCGAGCCAGCGTTGTCTATGGCGGCAACCTCCTCCGTGAGACGACCCGGTAGACCACTGGAATGGTGTATCTGCGCAGACACCAACTGCCGGTCCTCTGCAAGCTTAGCCGGTTTAGACATGTCGTGTAATTCTCGTCTGGACCTGTTCTTTGCACGTCTAGACAGATAATATGAATATTTATAAAATGCAATATCAGACAGATGAAGACACAACTGACAACGAGTGTCAGATAAACATATAGGCTGGCAATTAGGACATAGGTTATGCGGATCAACAGCAGACAAACGATACCTACAACCAGAACAAGATTTCATCAATTGTAAACAATGTGAATAATCACGTAAAAACGTGACAAAAACGGAGAAATTTGAGAATTAATTCCGTAGAATATTGTAGGTAAATGTTAACTAAAGCCTTATACAGCTAATTTAGAAGAAAAGCCTAAATAATAAAAGGATATAAAGCCGTATAGGGGACCAGGTGCTCTCACAACCGCCCACTCGGGCGAATCAGGAGAGAGTGAAGAGCATGGGAGACAGGTGGCGCCGTTTCCCGCCAAAACCTGGGAAGGGAGGTGACTCCTGGTAAGTGATTTTACGTCCGCTTTTTTGAAGGGAGCTTCAAAAGGGGATTCAAGTGTTCCACTAGCATTCGGAAGGAAAGGGAGACAAGCAATAAGCATGAGTCAGGATAAGGAAAAATTAGTTGATATGTAATATATATATAACCTTAAGAGAAAAATATACAAAAGCATAACAGTAAAAACTAGCAAAATATATAATTTTTTAAATATCATAAAACATGTTTCAAATTCAATGAAAGTACACTGTCAAATCAAAAATAATCTCTGCATGAAATATCATGTAAATCAGTTTCAAATCCATGTACACAGCCAATCATAGAAATAAGTCTGAAAATACTATTATATGTACTCATTATCACAATTGGGGGAACCAGATAAAATGTCACATTTTCAAGTTCGAAGAGTGCAGTTCAGTTACATCTGGGATTAACCATTGATGCCCACATTGACTGTCACTTGTGGTGCATGGACTTGGTTGCATTCAGACATGTGTTAAGGGTAGTAGTTTCCATTACCTTTAATCTTGCTCTCCTTGTGACTTTAATTGTTGTTGTCTATGTTTCTAGTTTCATTAACGTCTCCATCAGTATAACATAGCAATAACTATGTTCTTCAACTGTAACTCACATTGTAAACATAAACAGACCTATTGATGCTTGTTGGTCAATGTGTTGACACTGAACCTACAAGGTACCCCTTCAGTGATAATGCTGAGTACAAGTCAATGCATGCATAGATTTACAGTCCCTGTGCATTTATCGAACCACAATTTACAAAGCCACAACACAACAAATGCCTATATTCTCTAAATTAGGTTAACAAGTTGTTACTCAAAAGTTCTGCCTCTCTGGGTTACGTATCCCATTTAGAGCTATGTTAAGATTTCAGTGGTCAACAGGGCCCACTTGCACAGAACGATCTTAGAGCTACAATTATTGTAAGTCCTTAAGATCGCGATCTTAGGCTTCGGTTACAATCGCCATCTACTTGCACAAAGCAATTGTAGGCTAAGATTATTGTAAGTTACAATCGAAACTTACAATTGGTCCGGACCAATTGTAAGGAGCTAAGATCATTTTAGTCATTTTAGAAATGGCATTCAAATTAGTGTCTGTTTCACGTAAATAATCAGCTTTACGTTTGGAGATTGCATTTATATTGCATGAAACTGTGTGGTTACAACCTCGACATTTCAACAACACGGAGAATGCACAACTGATTTAACGTCGGATACATTGTTATTTACTGTAGTGAAACACATAACTATCGAGTCGATATCACATAGTACTATTCCCACCCGATTCAATGTTGGAATAAGTGTGAAACAACATATATATACCTTCTTGATAATCAAGGAAAGGGTAATAGCGAATGGTGTCAGCGTCACGTTAACAATGGCCGTGACCTTTTCATTAACTCAAGAGCAGATAATTTTACTTTATCGCTAAAGATGGGAGTGGTTTCCCTTGGCATATGCCGTTGCCGTACAGTCTCTCATGCCCAACATACTGATATCTCTTTTCGGTCATGGAGTGATTTTGTCTTAGTTTATCATTAAAGTAATCTACAATTAGATACAAGTTAACGTGCAAAATCAAGTTTCTTTCTCATCCTTAAATCTAAATTTGATTATGCAATTTAAATATATACAAGTAGTCATCAAATAGGGATATACACATGATGGGGTATTAAAAATTTCTGTTTCAAAAGAATTTCACTTTAAGAAAAATATTAATCAGCAATAGGGTTAAATAATTAATATACTGTGAATCGTATTTAATAACTACTCTCTTGAAATATTATTTAATGCACGTATTTCCCTGCAAAGCATTCTTTACAACACTTCTGTAGCCATTATTTTATTGTATTTTATTCTCGGATATATTTAGGATTTTACAACCACCCCAACCCGCATACCAACAGCTGCGTTTTAAACAATGTCTCATTGACAACCATTGGCAAATCATACATTTAGGTGTTATATCATCAAAGGAAATACCGTTTATATTTGTTATTTTAAGTTCCATAATTAAGTCACTAAATCTAGATTCAAATTTATTCATGTATTTTTAGGTATTTCAGTATTTTCATAAAACATGGGTAGGTATTTCTGTGGTTGCAATATCACATTCTCAGTTCATAAATCAAGACAGTTAGAATGTAGAGAAAATATATGCTATCGTCCACGTAATCGGTTCCTTCTAAGATTTCTGGGACTTTTCATGAAAATTCTGCAAGGTGCGATTGAGGGAGGTATGTATTGTGTGCTGGGACCAGTATCACTTTTTATTTGCGAAGCATGCTATGCGCACTTTCAAAAAACTGTAGACGGGAGTCGAGTTTAAGAAATTCGTACCTCCACCGTTGAAGGGTTCGATCTTAGCTTTGATCGCGATCTTAAATACATGCGGTCTTACAATCGAGCTAAGATCGGCTTTGTGCAAGTGGATTAGGGCAATTGTATGGTGATTGTAAAGTTGATTGTAGGGGCCTAAGATTGATTGTAACTAAGATTGCTCTGTGCAAGTGGGCCCAGGTAGTCAAATAATACATCAATCATAACAACAAAGAGTATATGCTGAAAACCTATATCATGTAAATTAAACCAATAACTGTTTGTCTGTTTAAAGGTTCACGATTGATAAAGAAGAATTCAAAAACTAATCATCAACTTCATACAAATATCAACAAATAATTCTTTGAAAAAGTATTTAAAAACATCACATATTCCCACCATGGACATCAGCTATGAAATACATGCTGCTCAGGAGAGGTTGTACAGATTTAGACTTGTAAGTACAATACATGTACAACTGCATTATCCATTGACACTGGGATCAGTGTCGGCTACATCTCCTTCCTGCGCCCGCTGATCTGCAGCAGCAACAGCCATGTGTTAGGAATGTGCATGCCCTTGATGCCTGGTGGGAGTGAGTCGATGTCTTCCTCTGTCAGGGTCTGATCAATGCTGCTTGATCTGGTTCCTAGACCTTCATCACTGTGCAGTGACCTGTCCAGGTGACCTTGCAGCAAGTCTTTCAGGCTGAAGTAGAATTACATGTCAACAATCAGCTGCCAAATGTCATTAATCCAGATACAGTCAAACACTGTTGTGTTGAAACTGAAGGAACCTATGTGACTATGTCAGTGTATGAAATAAGGCCTGTCCGACCGGCCGAGACAGGCTAGATTTCTGACGGACGGTCTAGATTTACAGCAAGCCAGATGTTCCATACATGTGAGTAAATTCACCATATCTTGCTGGTGTCTGGTCTGGTTACCGGTAAATCCATTTTGGGCTGGTTACATTTTCAAGTTTCCAGCCCTAATGTCTGGTTGGGATTTTGGCTTATTTCATACACTGCCTATGTATAATATAAAGTATAAATACTTTGAGTTATCCGAGGTTTGACACAACTGCAACATGTTGACTGAAGAAGAAGTAAGCAGGGACAGAGCTTTTACTTGGAAAGAACCACGAGTTTGAAACATCAAATTAAAGTTCAACACAACAATGTTTGACTGAGAAAAGCTATGTACAATGGATACAGTCCAAAACAGCTAGCTGGACTTTCCACCATCCACATACATTTTGCCTTTCAAGTAGGAACATAAGAGTTTTATATTGCAAACATGAAAAAGAAATATAATAAAATAATTTAACATACAGTTTTTCTGAATGTACCTTCATAATAACATGAGGACTGTCTTACAAGTTTCTGGGACTTTTTGCAAACACATGGTTTCATCTATGATTTTCAGTGACCCATTCAAATTGATTTCACTGCTATCTTTCTATTTTCTGTCAATGGAATCTAATTAGGTGGAAACTCTCTGGTGATATTTATATTCCTTTGTGAGAGTCAATGTTTTATATATCTGTTTGTCGATCAGTCATAACACATAATACCCCAGCCATCCTATGCTCAGAGATTTGGTCTTCAAATCTGGGGAAAATACTTACATCAGTGGACTGGAAATATTTTGTGTTCAATATTTTAATACCTTCTAAATTTACATTATCACTTTCAGTGTCATTAGTGGTATCTTTCTTCTTTTTTCCTTTTCAAGATAATGAATCTTCTGTTGATTTCATGCAAGACATACAATCATTCAGTTCATGGTATTGTGACCTACATACCTCATGGACTTTGGACTTGGTCCATCAGAGTTGTCAGCAGGTACAGCCACCCACAGCATGAGACAGTCGAACATCTCTTGAAGGAGAAACTCCAGCTTGTCAGGACTTTTCCTCTGACAGAACTCAAGTACATTTGTTTTTTCTTCCTCACTAAGACCTACTTTGTGTTCTCTGTCAAGATTGATGAATGGATCCTGCAGAAACATGACATCACAAATAACTAACAGCCTTAAGTTCAGATTAGGTATATACTATCCATGTGCTAAAAATACAGTCTGAGAAATAGGTATACATAATGCAGTTCAGAAAAGCTGAATTAATGTTGATCCAAAGCTACAGTGTAGCTTCAATTTCATGTCCTGATACAAGATTTCAGTCATTTAACCCGGAATTCCTTTATCATGCAAAAGCAGGTTTTGATGTCATGTCAAAATTGTATCTGTCATGCAGATGATCTGTGTGAATCATTTATATTCACAAGTGTAACAAACATCACATAGTATCAAGTTTAGTGTAAAAGTCCAACGTCAGATTAAAGACTTATACATGGAAATGTCTGAATGTGAGTTTACCTGGTGGTGTTCAGCAAGTATCACTGACTTCTGGAATGTCAGTAAAAGCCACAGTGATTGAACATGCCTGAACTCACAAACCTGCCTCGCCTGAAATACACACATAAACTTCAATACAGTGAATTCATTGTTGAAAAATTACAGATATGAAAATAAAAGAAGAGCCTAGTACAGTTCTGATATCATACTTTCAAGAAACCCTGGTCCCCAGGACTCTATGTGGGTCATAATAGGTCATCTTGCAAGGGACCAGTTCTGTCATGGAATCCCCTGTGGTTTCCAGAACTCTATGTGGGTCATAATAGGTCATCTTGCAAGGGACCAGTTCTGTCATGGAATCCCCTGTGGTTTCCAGAACTCTATGTGGGTCATAATAGGTCATCTTGCTAGGGACCAGTTCTGTCATGGAATCCCCTGTGGTCCCCAGGACTCTATGTGGGTCATAATAGGTCATCTTGCTAGGGACCAGTTCTGTCATGGAATCCCCTGTGGTTCCCAGGACTCTATGTGGGTCATAATAGGTCACCTAGCTGGGGACCACAATCAGGGTGTCAGGCTAAACAACTTTGTTTATTGTATGTCATTTTATCGTAACAGACTTAATCATTGCTTATAACATGAATCACTGACTATAGTCCGTTTGGCTCAAAAGCAGACCGATGAATTGAAATCTAACTCGAAAACTAATAAACATAAAATACTCAATGAAACACTGATCATAATCAAAACGTCAGACCAACTCTGTGAGGTTTTTGCAGAATTTATGTCCTAAAAATAAAAGAGTTGTTTAACAAACTATCATGAAAATATTGACACAGTTCACTATTTGTTACGAGCGAGGAGTGCAAAGAAAGGGACAGCCATGTGTGCCAGAAACGATGGAGACAGCACAGCACAGGTTAATGAAACAATAACTTTGTCGGCACTTGCACACATGCTTCTCTAACACCTGGCTGTCCCTTTCTCTGCACTCCTCCCTCATAACAAATAGTGAACTGCTGACTTTGACCATGCTCTCTAACTTTTTTACCCTCAAATCAATAGTCTTTGACCTCTGGTCACAAAGCACCTCTGTAGCAAGTTTGAGACTAATGGTTGAATGGTACTCTAGATATTGTGTCCACAACACAGGTATGGACACACAGAGGCCAGTATCTATATTCCCTGTCAGCTTTGTTGCAAGGAGATATTAATTCTAATGAACATTCCTAAACAAGAAACGTTAAGACCTAAGCAGCTACCTGGAACTGATCTTTTCACAGTAACTCTCCATGAATTCATTATGCTTCCTGAAGAGGAACTCCAGCATCATGTAGGAGCAGATGCCAGGCCCTTGAGTGGACGGCAGAAGAACGGCAAGGTGAGAGTTCTCATCTATTCTCATGTTCTTGTAGGCAGCAGGCAGGTGTATCAGACCATCATGGACTGTCCAACATCCTGAAAAAGAGGTAACATATCTGTCATGCACTTTCCAAAAATCTCCTGATTATTTATATACACAAAAATACATGTTAAAGACAATCAACTAAATTAATCTAGGTTCATCAGCCAATAACGTTGCATTATACATTACAATACCAAATAGTTTGATAATAAGACTGAGAAATAACTCAACCTTTACAATTTCATGCAAAATTTGTTAAATTTCACTGATGGATTGACATGCAGGTCACTACAGTCCTGCACTATACATGGGGTGATATAACAAACATACCTTAGTGTATGAATTAACCACAGAAGAAAATTAATCTAAAATGTATGTATGTTGATGGTATATTGTTAATGTAAAATGGCTGTCTCACCATGCAGACTCTCCTTGACACATTTCCCAAGCAGCAACCAAATCAGGCATCAGCTCATCTACATCCTTCTTAAAGCCCCTCATCTACAATAAGATCATATATAGCATATTGATTATCCTGCGTAGTTTCTATAGACATTGAACCATTTAGAAATTGAGTACATTTTCAAGACTACATTGATTCTAAAAAGGTTTTCCCTTATCTTTGAAGAAATGTGGTGTCAAGATTAATTATAATAGCAGATGGAAATTTGAAAATGATCTGCTGTATTTTAAAGAAACTAATATGTGCCTTCCTTCATGAAGGGCATGAGTGAGTGAGTTGGGTTTTATGTAAGCTTTTAGCAATGGTCTCTGGTTCCAGCTATATCACAGCAGGGACACCAGAAATGAAGGGCATAAATTAAGAAGGTTGTCAGCCGAGATACATTTATGATCAAGATCACCGTGAAGGTCATTCATGAAGTATGTTTGTCACTTTTCACTTAAATTAAAACAACAGTTGCCATTCTTCATAATTGTAAGAATACTACACACTTTACATCATTGCCTTAATGAAATCTGTGTTACAATCTGGGAGGCCATTATCACTGTCACTGCCAGAACACACCAGAGTTGATATAGGTTCTGACATATAGTAATCCCTTTAGTTTCTAAGAACTGATCATGGATACCTATCTAAGTCATACTATTACTGCAATTCCTAATAAGTAACATGAAAATAGAACTGTTTCAATATGTTTGCATTATGGCCCTGTATTTCCTGATAATTCATTTAAAACCCTGAAACAATTAAAACATTCTTCAGACAAAACATAGAATTTATGCTGATAGATAAATCAATCTTTAATATCATCTTTAATTATTTACAAAATATTATAATTGCTAATCTATTTGGTATACATTTCCTCAACATTATAATGATGGCATATTCCATATATACTTTATCTCATACATACATATGCATATGCATATCATATCATATTAGGGAAACAAACAGCATGATACATTTCTTACCATGTCTACAACCCACCAAGTGTGTGGACCTGGAATTTTACTGACAGCTACTGCGATCAATACAGCTATGAGGGGTATTCAATATGTATTCAGCCTAATATATTCTCGATGCTCAATGTTTGAAAAGCTTCCATTTTATTTTTGAAGGAATCATCAGCAAAGCCATATACAAAATTTAAAATATGTGGGTAATGTTGTTTGAGATATTATTCATCACAACACATTGGGGACTTGGGGTATAATATTTCTCTAAAAATTTATCATCCGCGATATGGCTGAGATATTGCCGATGTGGCGTTAAATATTAACTCAATCACTCTTTAAAATTGCAGAAAATGAAGAAACGTTCTGTCATTTTGGTACCTCTTGCATAATGGTATGTTCTCAGATAATATATAAAATGTGTTCAGTATAGTATTCGATGACTACCGTCATAATTAACATTCAAAGGTTTGGATTGCTTGATTTATATTACTGTGGGGCTGTTTTAAGGATAACCCCATTTTTTTAGCTTAACTGCGTTTTAGGGGTACCAAGATAAAAGTCACAAAAATGGTGATCATGAGGCTGGAACATACTTAATACCAATTTGCTTAAGGTTGACAGATAATATGTAGAAAGTAGAAAAATAAAAGCAGCCACATTTGTGTGTGGTTTCTTGGTTGGAGCTTTGAACTTTTAAAAGCCCCTCGTGCATCTGCATGAATAAATAAACATATATACACACTGTGCAGGCTAATTATTGTTGAGTAATGAGAAACATTTAATATATATATAATGGTAAAACCCTGTTTCATTCATGCTTTCACACATTATACATTCATAAATAATTACGATACACTGATAATGCATTAACATTCTGCAGCACAATTAGTTATCATAAATTACTCAATATTTACAATATGACAAAGCAGCCAAATTATCAAAGCATAAACACAATATCTATACACACCACATGATTTACATACTACAAAGTATTGAAAGAGACTAACCTTCAGAAATGATCCCATGAGCTCCAAAATAAAATGTCAAAATCAAATATGCACTATCAATATCCACAAGTGCTTTTGTGACCAGCTGACAGTAGAAAGTGATTGTGTCTGGGCAGAGAAGCATGCAGTAAGCTGGGGGAGAGAGGGGTTTAGAAAAGCTGAAAGAGTGAAGTATCTATGATGTTTAAGATACACCAAAGTGAATATTTAATTTGGTTAAAACTAAAGAATAAAAACTCTAAATATATACAAACATTTCATCCTGTCACAAACTAGCTGCACTAAATCACCTCAAAGAGGGACAAAGAGTGTGTTGTAGCTCAGACACAGTTCACTGACACAAGATTTGGCATTCCCAGTACCAGGCAAATTAAGCGGGGAACAAGGGTACCACTCATCAATTCATTATCACTTTTTTATCCCCTGCCCATGTTTAGGTTGGGGTATTAAAATGGACTGTCCGTGCATCCGTCCATCCATGCACATTCATTTTTTCTGGAGACAGAACTTAAAAATAAGCTTACTATTTCTTTACCAAACTTGGCACATGGATTCATCTGGTGGTGTACTGGTACCTTTTGGTAGTTTGGAGATTGAATAAAATATTTTTCGCGTTTCCATGGCAACAAGTTTGTCTGCAATGATGTTGGTGCTCCTTTCCGGGCAGGGCAAAATCATACACTATTTTTTCACCAAACATCTCACACAGATAGGTCTGGAGGGTGCCTTTTGATAGTTTAGGATTTCTGAATAAAATATTTTTTGCATTTCCATGGCAACAAGTTTGACTTCGACTGAAATTGGAAGTAGTGCTCTTTTCGAGACAGAACTTTAAAAACTGTTCAATATTTCCTCACCATATTTGGGACACAGATAGGTCTGGTGGTGTACTGGTGCCTCTTGGTAGCTTTGAATTGAATAAAATATTTTTCGCGTTTCCATGGCAACAAATTTGACCGACTGCAATGGTGTTGGTGCTCCTTTCCAGAGCAGAACTTAAAAACCGTTCACTATCACTTCTTAAGCGATCTCACATATAGGTCTGGTGATGTACTGGTGCTTTTGATGGTTTAAGATTTCTGAATAAAATATTTTGTTTGACTTTAACTGCATTTGGTTTTTAGTTCTCTTTTCGAGACAGAACTTTAAAAACAGTTCAATATTTCCTCACCAAATTTGGCATATAGATAATTCTGGTGGTGTACTGGTGCCTTTTGGTAGTTTTGGATTTCTGAATATTCTCAGCCCTGTATGGCAGATGGCAGAAGACCATGGTAGAT